TCCTTATTTGTGCACATTAATTATGTTTTTGATAAAAATCCTTTCCTTAAAATCAAATAAGGAGCCCTTCTAATGTTAAGGATGTCTCAGCCCCTCCCTTCTGTGTCCACCATATTGAATCGGTCCATTTGCTGCACATGTTCAGAAAGGTCCAAACAGACGTCGGGTATTAATGGCTGAACACCATTTAACCATCTTGAAAAGATTGAGGTTTTAAGGTTTGGAAAGATCGCTAGATGTGCTCCAGCGCATTGTGTTTTCTATGATAAACAAAGAGCACGCTGATCTGTGATGTCATTGCGTCCTCTACTGCGCATGCGGGACACTTAAGCTGTATGAATGGAGTTTACACAGAATATCACATAGAAGTCGCATATATTTGGTAAGGTGAACGGCAATGCAAAAAAATCGGATTTCACAAAAAAATTGGAATTGAGCATCAAGGCCTGAGTGTGAACTTAGACTTAGATTGAGACAGCATGAAAAGTCAGCTGAGCACATTGCAAATATGAAAAGAAAATATAGAAAGGGAAACAACAGGAAAAGAAGAAAGAGACACAACCTAGAACAAATAGTGTATGTATATTATATTAAAATTTCTGTATCTGTGTGTTCTCTTTTCAATTAAGAGGGCCCCCCCTGCCTGTCTTTGCCCAGGGCCCCAAATTTCCTAAATCCACCCCTGCCCCAAACCTGTAAGAACCGCCACTGTTACAGCCTGCATGATAAATTAAATGTAAACAAAACGAGTTTTCCTCATTTTTGCCAACAGGTGATGGTGTAGTTTATGTAAATCACCAAACCAGCTGTAGGTAGAGATAAGTATTGCTGACTGGGTGTAGCGCGCGCACTGTCGCGCATTTAGGAGCAGCCGCGCGCTGAAGAGCAGCTGCAGCTGTTTCGCTGGCACGCGCCACTGGCCTCTTTTTAAAAGTGTAGAGAAACTGGCTGTTGTTCAGTGAACTGTTCCACACAGCTGGGCTCAGATAGCCGCTAAGGGAGCAGGAAGGACTGGTAAACTGCTCCTCCATTCCCTGGAAACACCAGTTAGCAGTTAGTGGTCTCCAGGCAACAGGTGAGCTCTACTTTGGCTTAATTAACTTTTCAGAAACTTGGCAAAGTTTTTTTGTTGTTTGTTTTTCAGCTTTTCACTTCATTTTTACCTTGACTT